CGTGGCTCCCCGAAACAGAATTGAAGTCTGCAGCGGAGCTCCTAAAGGCATATAAAAAGCGACTCAAGATCGCTTCAATCGCCATCTCATGTTGATCAACAAACGCCACTGCAACTTCTCCTACTGCCCTCACTACACTAGGGCTGACCCCACCGACGAACCCATCCACACCGACACCAAAACCTTCCATCGCCAACGAATCCGCAATCGCCACCGCCCCATGAAACCCAAACCCATCGACAAACAGAGACCCGTTACCCAATACCCCACCTACGCCACTACCCAAGGAAAGACGCTTCACTATGTCGGCCTCAGCGTCGTCTGTTTCCTCGCGCCAATCCGCTACCTCTCATGCGTCTGCCTCCGACCACGACCCGACGAGCCAGCCAACGCATGGCCATGATAGGCCCTCCCCCCCGGGATACACCGTCTTCCGACGACCATCCCTTCGCTCAGTTGTCCAAGATAGGCAACGGGCCTACTGGGAAGCAGTCATCTGCGACCCCCAGTATGCAATTCGACTCGACAACTATCTCAACCACACCAACGACGACATAACCACGAACCTCGTCCAGGCCTTCAGGGCCACTGACGCCCTCACTGGCGATATCGCCAGGATCGACCTGGCTAGGGAGACTTCCCTATCCACCGTCTCGACCAGATATAACCAAGGCAAGATCAAGCGAGCCTTGCTAAATCTGTTTGAGCTCAGGAACTTCCATGCCGCTGTCATGGCCATCGAGGAGGAGCGGGCATTTAATCCCCCTCCCGACCCGCTTGCAGTCGTCGAGCGTGCTGTCTATGACAGAGCTCCGACCCCCTTCCTTCCCCAACTACCCCGCTCTGAATCACCAGAGCAGATCCCTAATGTCACCCAGTTGACCAATCCCGAGATCGACCGTCTCTACAACGAATACGAACGCGAGCTCTACGCTCCACGCAACCCCTCCCCCATCCTTGATGTCGACACCATTTCTATCACCATCCCAGAGTTGGATGAGTGCCCCCCCGAACCACCTGTTCTCAACCCCGACGATTGGGTACCTACTGAAGTAGTCCCACACCTCTCCATTGGTTCTCCGGAACCTCTTCCCACCCCGCAACGATGAAATCACCGTGCTCGTGCACGATCCATCCTGTCTCTAGGACTACCCCTCTCCCATGCGCATCGCCCGCGCACCCAGAACTTCACCAGGCACTATCCTCGCGAGGAAGCCCAGGAAGACGCCATCAACGACGCGCGTCGTGATGCCACCGAGACCACCCAGGTCTACCGCAGCAACGTTGTCTGCCGCCAGTGCCGTGTCTTTGGACACAAACAGAAACACTGCACGCAATACTTCTGCCGCATTTGTGGGCAATTTGCCCCAAAACATCTCACCCCCTTCTGCCCTCGACTCGACGGCAGAAAGATCCTTCGCTGTGGAACCTCTTCCGACCGGTTCTACAGGGACATGCAGCAGCTCGAAGCTGCGTATGACCAGGACGCTGCTCGCCTTGAGCAAGAACACGAAGAGAATGCAATCGAAGCCGCCTCCTGGCTCGAAGACCTTGACTTCGACCCCGCGTGGTATAACAACCAGGACGACTACGTTCCCCTGGACGATGATTAAAGAGTTTGTGGAACTCTACCTTGAAACGGGGGTAATGTTACAAGTAACATCGGCTACATGGCCCCCCTATCATTTTTCCCCTTCGTCCTCGCCCTCGTATGCCTCCGGCTCGTACTTCTCTACCGACTATCCGTTGACCGGATCCTCGGGACCATTCCCGTCCCTCGTCCCCCCTCTTATCGCACCAACGTGCGCACGTGCCTTCGGGCTATGACTCGTTCTGACTCGTGCCACCAATGTGGCTTTCCTTATCTTTCCTTTGACTTGTGCATGCTGCACATTGTATCATTTACCGTTGGCTCGTTCCAACGTTTCTCAGTCTCATTCCGCATTCAACCTTACATCACTAATCAGGCTCTGCTACCAGTGTACCTATACCCTTTCCGTTTCCCCTTTGCCCTTACCCACAGTACGGTAGCCTTGCCCTTAACCCTTTCCACTTAGTATAAGTAGTCGGTCACTCTGTACTAGATTCCCTAACTTGAATCTACTCAATCTTCCCTCGAACATACTTCCCTCTGAAGCCCCCTCAGCTTCAGTCTCTAGTATCTTTTCTTAGGTGCTCATCGCGCCTAAGTCTACCTCGATCGACTACCTCATCGTTCGGACAAGACTGTCCTTACTTTGAGAATGTCAGTGACTTTGAAGACATCCGTCTTAGAAGTCACGTGACACGCGCGTCTCTGATATCTGCCGACTCGATGTCGCCAGTCTCAGTCGCTACACCGGACCCTTCCGGTTACGTCACGAACGTTAGCGGACGACGCCCCTCTTAGGGCTCCGCATAACAGATCTATTTGAGTGCGTAACACTGCCCGTCTATATAACAATATTTGCCCTACATCTCTCTTCAGCCCAGCTGTCTATAATATCCTACTCTACATATTACCCAGATGGGCCCACCCATCTCCATGAATGATCATATTCCCCCGCCCCATCCGTCAACATTAAGGATATATATATCATTGGCATACATGGGCCCACCCGTCAACATCAGAAATAATATGTGTCCCGGCCCATCCGTCATCATTGAGAATATACACAACATGGGCCCATGATCAGCTGGCCCATCTCATACGGGATATTATGGAGGTCGGGTGGCCCGTATAATACGGAATTTGTCACTGAAGGGGCTCCACTGAACAGCTCTAGATCCTAACTACAAACTTGAGTACGCACGAGCACAATGGGACGCAGATGCCTTTGATGAAGGGAAGAAAAAGCTTGAAGCTGCAGTAAGTTGGGCTACCATTGCAGTCAAACATTGTTACTAACTGTTCAACAGTTCGACTACTATCACGCGCTGATTACACCTCAGCCCTCACCATCCGAACCCATTCCATCAGTGTCCAGTCAACCACCCACACAATATGGGCACTTGTGGATGTGATCGGTGATTCTAGCTCACCAATCGTCTGAAAAAAGCATTGCCAATCCACGTCACAAACTCACCCTATACTTAACTAGCCCATTGGAGGAGGTGGCTAATGTGGTTCGCTGGTGGGGGGTAAGTACTCTATATTGTATTGACCGGCCTTTGTTGATGTGCTTGCTCTAGCATCATTCCACCATGTACCCCACCCTTTCACACATGGCAAGAGATTACCTTGCTATTCAAGGCTCTTCAACGCCATCAGAACGGGCCTTCTCAAGTGGTGGCATGACAGATGATAGTCGATGCAACCAGCTTACACCTCAGGTCTTTGAGGCACTGCAATTGTTGAAGAGTGCCTACTGTAATGGGCATCTACAGGCTGCAACTGATGCAACAGCGCATGTCGAGCCTGATGCTAGTGTAGGTGCTACTGACATGTAGAGTACATGTTGTTTTGATATTGCTGTAATCCCAAGTCTCTTTCACATGCATTGAGTCAGAGACGTTCAGCGTCCAAACGCCAAACTGAACGTGAACTGAATGTCCTGAACGTGTTTGACTACGTTGTGAGTTTGATGTAGCTGCGAATACCAGACTTGATCCAGCAGCCATGAGGACACCGTAGCTCCCAGACTTTTGCGTCGTTGACTCAAAATTCCAGCTCATTATGCTGATAGAGAGTCAGAAAGGAAGTACTGGTAGCCTCTGTGATGAGACATTCTTTTTCGGTTGGGTGAAGGCTGGGCTGTAAAACAGGTGGTGGACTTGAGGCGGATATTAATGTTGGATCATCAAAATCGATCTGATACGCAGTATGAAGTGTTGCGCCAGGCTTCTGAGAAAGGTTTACATCATCCGAGTCATTAAAGCCATGTGTTGATCATCAGTAAACCACAAATTTCTCCCCAGATAATGCCTATTTCGACAGTTTCACACAGTTGCCCACAGACTCTCACAGAGCAGACAGCGCTCACAAAAGTTATATAAGCACAGATAGATATTTCGCACAGCTCTGACAGGACGTACAGGCTGCACAGCTATCAAGGTTGCCAGTGTGAGCGCTGTCCCAGTTGAACGCTGAGTGACTAACTTTGAGTTGAAATGCCAGCATACTAAATAAACTTAAATTAGACTACTAGTATACTGCCACTGTAATGAGTCGTTCTATTAAAACACGCAATTAAATTTATGCAAGTGTGATAGTACATAATGCATGGTAAGGTAATACAAAAGCATTGCACGCGATCATGAAATACTACACCATCCCACATCAATCCAACTTGATAGTAATGTTTTGACCGGCGGCCTGCAACTCGATGTGAGAACCTGTGGCTTGTTGACTATATACACGAATATTAATGTATTGGAAGACTTACTATGCAGAGACGCATGGTGAGAAAGACCATGTTTTTTAAAGGCGATCCGCATGCATCCTAATCCGATGTCTGCCTTGTCAAGTTTGCACTCGGATATGCTGGATTTAAACTTCAATAAAGTCGCCATAACTTCATGCTCATGGACCACACAGTCAGCCAGTGATTTTTTGGCTCTGAATACCTCTCGTCTGGCTCTCAGGAGTTCCATGAGTAAGTTGGCTTCAAGGTCTGTATCTTCGATAGTCTACAGGTATGTTAGATGATAGATGATAGTTTCTGGTACAAATAGCAAGCCACTTACCATAGACCAATAGCCTCAGCAACATCGTACAATTCTGCAAGAGCTCGGTCATGGTTGCTGATTTTTACCGCTCGGAGACACGGGTAAGAAGTTGCATGTGAACCATAGCACTGAGGACAGCGAGAAGGTGCTGTGACTGAGGTGAGGATGTTGTTGTGAATGTTAAGGCAGACAAGTGGGGTTGACTCAGACATACTAATATGATATTATAATTATAGGTGATAATGCTTGTTTGCAGACTTCATTTGTTCTATACAGTAGGTTCGGGGAAATCAGAGCTCAATTTGACGTCACACGAGGTATTTTTCTCACATATACATTCTATACTTAACAATATGTTTCGGTGTCCTTCGTGCGGCAAAGGCAGATTCAAAGACGAGGTCGCTGTGGCCTGTCATATGAATCAGCCCCGCTCAGGATGTAACACTTGGCTACATGATATAATATGGTTGGACTCTGTGCGAACCGAGTCTATGGACGTTGACGACGAGGAGCTCGGTACTCCCAATGATTCTCACCACCTCACACATACGTAGGAAGACCACGACGGATCTGGAGGCTGGGATGAGGATACTGGAGTGGTGCTAATTTAAATGAAGGTGGTTTTACCGGCAGTGTGAATGAAGAAGGGATATCACCAACCAGGGACTTCATCGACTGGTTCCCCGGAGCTTCTCGAACGTATGGAACAGGTCATACTTTCCTTGACATATTCAATTCAGACGAGAACAGCGTGCACTGTGCAACTAGTCTCTACTACCCATTCAGTGGCCGGAAAGACTGGGAGCTTGCATCATGGCAACTTCACTCGGGATTAAGCATGGGGAAGATAGATAGCTTTTTGTCACTTGAGATAGTAAGTACACAATATATTCAATTGGTAGAGTCTAACAACGTGCATGATAAGATCCAGGGTCTTCCTCTGTCATTCTCATCAGCCAAGGAACTGCGAGGCAGAGCAGAAATGTTGCCAAGCGGTCCACGCTGGATGTCTCAAGTCATCGAGACAAAGCATCCGACCAAATCACCTGTCATATTATATTGGCGTGACCCTTTGGATTGTATCTCCAGTCTACTTAACCATCCATCCTTTCACGACCAGTTAGACTTTACGCCCCGCAAGGTGTATACCACGGCACAGCGGCTGTGCTGTGTGTACTCTGAATGGATGACAGGAGACAACACTTGGACAATGCAGGTGCGTATCTTCATTTGTGCAAGGCGCTCTCAGTACTGATCATTTTCAATGCAGTCGGCTCTACCACGAGGTGCGACATTGCTTGGGACCATCCTATCATCTGACAAGACAAACATATCTATGATGATGGGCGACAGAGTCGTGCACCCCCTCCTCATCAGCCTCGCCAATATACCCATGTCCACCCGACTCAAGACATCACTTAATTCTTTCGTGCTCACTGCCCTGCTCCCCATGCCAAAATTCCTTCATAAAAAGAAATGCATGCATGGCGTACTGGAGGATCGTCTAGTCCATCAATGCCTGGATCTTGTTCTAGAGCCGCTTAAGCGGGCTGCCCATGAGGGAATTATGCTGTCAGATCCCGTTGGGCATAGTCGCTACTGTTTCACTCCTCTCGCAAGTTACATTGTTGATACTCCAGAGGCCATGATACTCGCTACCATTGGTGGTAAAACTTCCCCAGTTACCATGGCCATGTTCAAACAATTTGGCGACCCTTTCCAACACGAGCCTTGAACTAGTTCAACTACACTCGCACAGATCGCTACTGCCCATAGCAAGGTTGATTCCAATGACATTGAAGCTTTCTTCCGCGAAGCACAGAAGTTCCATTTAAATGGTGTCGACAAACCTTTCTGGCAGGACTGGCTCTTTGCTGAACCATCCCACTTCCTCACTCCCGAAAATCTCCACCATCTTCACAGAGAGTTTTACGATCACGATGTCAAATGGATCATATGCGCGGTCGGGGAAACAGAAATCGATTTTCGCTTTTCAGCATTGCGGCCTGTGATGGGGTTTCGCCATTTTCATGGTGGCATCTCAAAGCTGAAGCAGGTCACAGGGCGTGCCCAACGTGATATCCAGTGCTCGATTATTGTGGTCAGTGCAGATGCGGTGCCTAGTGCTGTGATGACTGCTGTACGAGCTTTGACGGATTTCCGTTATCTCGTACAGTCGCCACGGATCGATGATCGCGACATTGAACATATTTCCACAGTGCTGGCCAAATTTCACGCCAACAAACATGCCATTACAGCTGCTGGATTTCATCGCGGGAAGGGCAACAAGCCTATCGATAACTGGTACATCCCGAAGATAGAGCTCATGCAGAATATAGCTCCCAGCATACGTAACACTGGCATCACCATGCAGTGGAGTGCAGATGCTACAGAGCACGCACACATAACTGGGATCAAGGATCCCACACGCTCAAGCAACAACAATAACTACGATTCACAAATCTGCCGTCACCTTGACTGTGTGGACAAATGTCGTCATTTTGATCTTGCAACAAGTCTATTAGACTTGAGGCTGCAAACCAACCTGGACCAACACCACGTTGATGATGACATCATTGATTTTGATGTTGATGATGACGATGACCTCCCCGCAAACCTCTTGTCCACAGTCAAGTCCCCTGGATACGCATGTCCAATCACTAACTACTTTGCAATGGCAAAGGTCCTCCAGCACAGGGAGGTTGGGACAATCCCCCTGCCATTACGCACATTTGTTGTTGGACGTACGGCCTTTCATCTTGCCTACAGCCTGTCAATTAGGGCCATCTCCATTGACGATGCTGCCCTTAAATTTGGCCTTCCTGACTTACGATCAGCCTTTGCCGACTTCCTTTGTCGTGAAGATACTCATGGGTATGGTCATATTCATCCGCTTGGAGGGGCTAGGAGGGCTGGGTCCAATGCTTCGCTTCCATTCAATGAACTACAGATATGGTTCAAACTTCAACTTCAGGATACGGAATTTCATGATACCACCAATGTGCGACCTGCACAGACCCTAAACTGCGTACCACCTTCTGACATCTGGACCTTTGGTCGGTATGAGACTGTTATTGTCAATAATGAAGATGGGCACTCATGGCCTGCTGATGGTCTTCACGGTGATTGATGTTCCTCCATTATGCAAAATGCTCTCTAACTCTTGAGTTCCTAGGCCATGTCATCGCTCAAATCAGGCTTATTTTCTGTCCAATTAGAAAGATGGATACACAGGGGGCTTGGAAGGATCACTTCCTCACATACGTGCAACACTTTAACAACAGCACTGAGCGCGAGCCAGCTACGCACCTACATCTGCTCAAGAGGGTGAAGCGATCAAACGGGACTCGCATTGATGATGTTATACCAGTCACTCAGCTCAGAGCGCCTGTTAATGTTGTCCCTCAATTTGGCGCAAGTGCAGACCCGCATCTCACTCAATATAACGGTATGGAGCATGCATCAGAATTTTGGCTCAATAAGTACTGGGACAAAAATACTTTCTACCCTCTTTTGATGTATTTTGACCTGTAATCAGCCTGCTTTTGCCCACTTTGTATGAATGTCGTGTATTTATAGTTAGACTGTGGCATTAAGCAATGCCCGAGTCTCACCATCATTGCCCTATCCCTTTGTTCCCTCACTGAGCGCCAATTATGCCGCACTTTTATAGGACAATTGACGACAGAATAAAATTGGCATCCCTGATGTCAATTCTGGTCAACGATGTCCCTACTTTGAACAGAATGACAACCATTGAACTCAACCGCCTAGTGACAACTGAACCTCAATCTCTGGCAAATGGCTCGTTAGGCCACCTACTCCCTCTGATCTTCAAGCCTTTCACAGCCAATGTTCCCCAAGCACACACACTTAGAATCAAACTCAGCAAAATCCTTCATCACGACACACAGATCAACACTATATTCAGTCAAAACTCCCCAGACGATATCGTTCCATTGTATGATAGCCAAGCTGGATTTTGGAACTGGGCACTTCCAATGACACCTCCTCAGTCATCTGTCAATTCAAACGATACTCTTCCTCCTCAGCTGGGTGTCGAGAAATTTACCCATGAAGAGATATTTTCATCATTCCTTAACGCTCTTGATACTGTGATGGCTGAATCAGAAGACAAGCTGATCACACTGTCTGCAACTCGCACATGGAGTGCCAGCAACTCCACTGTTGCAGTGTCCGGTAGCGATATCAAGCGCAAGCCTGATCTTGTGCTATCTGATGATATCAAGCCCAAGTGGGGCAATATTTGCGTATGTGCTGAGCTGACACATAGTCAGTACAAGCCTGCACAGCGGATTGTGAAGGCTGCAGATACCCAGGCATATCTACTACTCAGCAATCAGCCTTGGAGGCGCTTTGCACTCATCCTATCATTTACACACCAATATCGCGAACTCAGGGTCTTGTTGTACGACCATGCCGGTGGCGTTGTGACCCCTCACATCAAAATTCATCAAAATCCAGATGCATTCGCCCAGATTATTGCTGCTGTTGTCTTTGGCAGCCCAGAATGTATTGGATACGATAGTACGGTTGCCTTCTGGAAAAATGTCCCGCTCCCCCCACCCCTAGGTGCAGACATGCCTGGTTACTGGCCATTCAAGAACCTTCCTGCCTGAGCCACTCGGAGTATCACCTTTCCTGCCGATCCTGATAGCGAGTCTCTCGCTGCATTGCTTGAGGATCCCCAGGAGCTACCCCTTGACAATGAGGCCGGGTCAATACACTCTTCTTCTGATGCCCTCGAGCCGATGCCCCCTGCTGATGACACCCTCGAGCTAATGTCCAATGACAATCTCGAGTCTCTCGAAGATCTGATAGAAGAGCCTCTTGTCCCCCCTCCTTCCCCTCCTGTCCCTCCTCCTACCTCGTATCTCCTCCCTCAACCCCTTGCAGTCACTAGTGTTCCTTTGTTGGGCCTTGCATCTCGGCCTCTGCAGTGGGCTGATACCGCCTGTAGCTCTACCCCTCATCCTTCCCATTTTCCCCACACCCCTCAATCGCCTGCAGAACCCTGTGGCCAAATCCGCGTTAATAACAAGATCTACACTATCCTGAAGATCCTCTTTACCACCAAGGGCCTCGTTGGTCGCGGGACCGTCTGCTATCTGGTCAGTTTGGACGAAGAAGAATACATCATTAAAGACCACTGGGTTCAGGGTGGTGAGGAGAAAGTTTTGAATGAGATTAACATGTTAAAAGCGATGAGTGGCATCCCTGGTGTTCCTGAGCTAGTAGACTACTGGAAGGTCAAAAGGTCAGATGACGTCATTGACCAGACACGGCATTATTGTCACGCGGAAAACCCGAGTATCTGAGGGACCCATTGTACGCATGTTTGCCTCGTCATGAAGCCCTGCGCTCGCCCCCTTCATGCGTTTCGAATGCTGAAGGAGTTCATGAGAGTGATTAGGGACATTGTTATCGGTGAGGCTTTAGTTGATTCTACATGAGTTCTGTATTCATTTTCTTGTATTCTAGTCCAACGCATGGCAGTAGACCGTGGCATTTTGCATCGTGATTGTAGTCTTTACAATGCGATGATCATGGAGGGGCCCAATAATAGTAGGGGGCTGTTAATCGATTGGGAGTTTGAGTCTTCATTACTTCAAATGACAAATATTCTATTGGTGGCATGGTAAATATATCTTTCTCGAACACACAAAATTTGGTTGACTGGTTTATTAGGGCACAATCCCTTTTATGTCGCGTGCGCTTCTTGCCCAAATGGCAGAATTGCAGGCCAAGGCAACACAACAAGAAGCACGGAAATCCTCCTCCAAAACTCTGGTGTTCCCACCATCTTGGGTCTCTCAAAGCTTTGGGGATGACCTTGAGTCCCTTTTTTATGTTTTTGCCTATATCTGTATCAAGTACAGTGGCCCTAACGGCAAGGAGCGCCAGGAGTCCATACCTGACTCATTGCCAGATAGCTGGTTGAACCTCAACCTGGATGTGTGCAAACTGAGGAAGGTCTATTTCTTTGCAGTGTCATCAGAGGAGGCCCATCTCGAAAAACAATTCCACCCATACTTTGCAAAACTTATCCCCCTTGCGAAAAAGAGTGGTGGGCAATCCTGAAGGATAACATGGAGGCACGGGTCACTTTTGATAGCATCATCGATCTGCTAAAACATCATATTGCCACCCTTGAGGACGATGAGGAGCGTGCATCCACCAACGAGAATCTCAAGAAATCTGCTGCAGAAATCACTAAACACTTGAAAAAGCGGCAAGCAGAAGGGGGCAGTATGGAGCCTGAGTCTGTGCCACAATTAGCCAAGCGCAAGAAGCATGAGGCAGCTGACGGTGACTCTGCCAGCGAAGTGACTCAGGCGATGATGGCTTAGATTAAATTTATCAAGATTGACCATAAATTACCAATAGTTGTTGTAGCTGCGCTTGTACTTTCTTTTCCAGTGTTTCCTTCGCATTTCCATCTATAGTGGCTCAAAAAAGTGTCTCAATGTTTGTTGGTTTTCATGTAATTGCTTTCTTATGAGTCAGGGTGTGGGAATCTGACTATGCTATAGGGAGGTGTCAGAAAGGTCCACCTCCCAGCTATATTTATGTTTCCTATAGCGTGGGAGGCCGACACTACCGTGTGAAGATATGGACATTTTGGTTTGATGACTCATTGAGACACTTTTTTGACTTTAATTTTTTTTAGATAAATCAGACCACCTAGACAAAATATCATTACTAAATATTTCAAAAAATGGTGTCATATTAATTATATGGTCTGATTTTAATATCTGACATTTATATGAGTACAAGCTAAACCATGAAATCCTTCATAATCCTCATGAAGTCTATCTCTCCTGCTCAAAAGGATAATATCCTTGTTCTTACCTCCTCTGGTCTATCTACTAGACAGATTGCTTCCAAAACTGGTCTTAGCAGGGCTACTATTACTAGAGTCATCAAGAAGTCTATTCCAAACAAAGAAAATATCAATATGGGACATCCCTCTAAGCTCACCCCTCATGACAAAAGAGCTATTGTCCATTCTATTCTATCTGGAGAAGCTTCAAATACTGTTCAAGCCACCAAACTCATTAATTCCATCATCCCCTCCACTGTCTCCACCCAAACAGTAAGAAATACTCTCAAGGCAGCTAACCTGAAAGCTGTAACCAAGAAGAAGAAACCACTTCTTTCACCAGCTCATAGGAAGAAGAGACTAGCCTTTGCTCTAAAGCACCAACACTGGACTATTGAGGACTGGAAGAGGGTTATTTGGTCAGATGAGACCAAAATCAATAGACTAGGGTCAGATGGTCAGGAATATGTATGGAAAAAGGCAGGAGAACCACTAGGAGAAAGAGAGGTGAAAGGCACACTAAAGTTTGGAGGGGGAAACTTGATGGTATGGGGCTGTATGGGATGGAATGGAATGGGGATTTTGTGTGAGGTGGAGGGGAGGATGAATGCAGAGCAGTATGTCTCCATTCTAGAGGAGTGTCTGCTCAGAAGCATGTAGGAGTCAGATGTTGATGAAGAAGACATCATTTTCCAGCAGGACAATGATCCCAAGCATACCTCAAAACTGGCCACCAAATGGTTTGAAGATCATGATATCAATGTTCTATCATGGCCAGCACAGTCTCCAGACCTCAATCCTATTGAACATCTCTGGGAATTACTCAAAATACTACTTGCTGCCTATCAAGATTCTTCAAAGGGGCTATTTGAACTATGGGAGAGAGTTGTGGTAGAGTGGAAAAGAATTACCAAAGAGGAATGTCAGAGATTGATAGAAAGTATGCCCAGAAGAATAGCAGCAGTGATTAAAGCCAAGGGAGGTAACACAAAGTACTAGAATTATAAAGATTGTATTGGTCAAACTTAAAGTCAAAAAAGTGTCTCAATGAGTCATCAAACCAAAATGTCCATATCTTCACACGGTAGTGTCGGCCTCCCACGCTATAGGGAACATAAATATAGCTGGGAGGTGGACCTTTCTGACACCTCCCTATAGTATAGTCAGATTTCCATACCCTAACTCATAAGAAAGCAATTACATGAAAACCAACAAACATTGAGACATTTTTTTGAGCCACTGTATATCAATACTGATCTTTCTTTATGTGCACATGTGTTCCGGTTAACACATTTTTTCGCACTCATCTTTCATCTCTCCATCCCACCATACCAAGTTGATACACCGTTACTCGCCTATCTTTTCATTACTCTTCAAGTTCACCTTGGATCAATCCGAGTTATTCCTTCGGAGAAACGGGCAGAAAGAAGTGATTACTCTCCGAGCCCGACCTTGAGAAGGCATGAGCATGATGTGATATAAAAGACTAGTTCAGAGGCTGGCACGGCAGGAGCACAGTGGGTTTTAGCTGTTGGGAGGTGGCTACTGCTCCATGTACATTCCTACTATTCTTGCTCAGGGCTTGATAGCTCTGAGTCAATCTCACTGGTGCACTCGCTTATCAGGCACACATTGGGACATTTTTCCTCGCTCTCCATCTTACTCACAGAGATTATTTAAGACAAATCATCTTATGTCATGCCAGGGAGAACCTGCCATTCCTTTCCGATAACCTCGAGGTATCATCGTATAAAATATTTGGTGAGTTTGGAATTGCTCGTTAGCTATTGCTCAGTCTGCTCAAACTTTTTGTAGCTGCATCATGCCTCCTCATGTTGTTGCCAGCCCCAAGAATAAGCGGGCCAAGTGCAAAGGTCTGGATGTGTTCAGGCCTCAGCCCAAGAAGCCCTGAGCAGCAGAACCCATTGAGGCATCTGGCATGCCACTCGTGTCCCTCCGTCTCAATGCCACAAGCACTGACGAACCTGCTAGACGTTCTGGCTGTGCCAATGTGGGAACGGGAGGTAGGAATACTCAATTGGAGAAGATCGGTGCATTGTTGGAGGCTCCATCTCGGATACATCGACACAAGGGCTTTACATCCCTTGATTCCACCGTTCCTGTTAACCCTCAAGCTCCAGAACCACCTCGTATCAAGGGCTGAGGCTGTCGTCCAAAGGTCTGATGCATAGTTATATTTATTTATTTATCTAACTTGATTGTTCACATCTAGGTCGTACCCCCACCATATAGTTCGTCGACTGCTATGAATGTTCCTAACACCTCATGCGTAGACATCAGTACTGCGGAACCCTCACAGTCTCTCAATCCTTTATTCCATCAACCTGGAGGAAGATTTGGGTTCGCTATGCAAGCACCTACTGTGCCTCCCAACCCAGATCTAAACAACCAATATACTATTGGGAGGAAAGGCAATGTGAAGCAAGCTCACATAAGTGTAACCGGCCCTAGTGCAGCTAATTTGGTTGCACCACCAACTACCTTTGTGGACCAGAACATCAACCCAGACTTATGGGGCGTCAATGAGGTTGAACATCAATCATTTGAGGCAAGTGTCAGCTCTGACGATGATGGTGAAGAAGATGACGATGAGGAGGGGGAGGAAGATGGGGAGGAGGAGGATGAAGAGGAGGAGATGAGTCAGCCACAGTTTGGCTGGGGGGGGGGGGTTGGTGGACGTTGCACTGAACATCCAGGTAATGTGTTTGCAACTCTCCTGCATGTCCGAGGGAACCCACCAGGATCAGCACCTTTTACCCTCGCCTTTCAAACAATCTTATTAATATACATTACAGGATTTTCTGGGGAAGATTTGCCCCCTTCACAACCATGAGTCACTCATCCTATTACGCCAGAATTTGACTTTCAATATTCATGCGATGAAGATGATGTGGTTGCTCAGACCAGTGTCTTACATGCAGCCAATCCCTCCATGTTGTCCATACAGCAGTCCAGCAGTTCACAGGTATGATGAGTTCACTCACCTGTATCGTTCTGACAATTGCTTGCATAAGATTCCTTCAGATACCTCGCCTATGCAGCCACAGCTACAGGACGTTCAGGTGAGGCGATGAAATTCATTCTTAGTGAGGCTCACTCTGTTTCTTTACAGATCACGATATCACAGCCCGACAATGTATTGAAACGCCACCACAAGAAGAATGGCCAGCCACGTCTTCCTGATCCTGAAGCTCTCAAGTTGTTGCATCAAGTCGAGTCCGATGATAATCAGCAGTCTAAGACTAAACGATCAAAGAAACCAAGTGACGGACCAAAGCCAACTCAACTAGCATGGTATGGTCCACGATGGAAAAGCTTTCTCGAGGATGCTAAAGGAGAATGTCGCGCGCAACATGCCCTGGAGAATCCATTTCTGGCTTTAGTTGCTGATTTACCGTCGTCCATATGCGAGGTTCTTGTTTCAGTCTTAGTTGCATGGGACCAAGATGGTAAACAGTTTGAAGCCGGTAAGCACTTCTTCCTTCATAAAATAATTCATTTTATGTTGTAATTCAGGGATCTGGCCACAGCAAAAATCTAACATGGCTCGACTGGTAAGTGTGATATTCACATTCACACTGATCTCACTGATTTAGGATCTGCACTGCAGTTGTATGACGATCTCGCAACTTGGTGATCCGATTTGAAGAAATTTGCTGCAAGTCTTGCGCCTCAATCATATTCGCTCATTCCCCCGCCTCCGATCCCCTTTCAAGAATGTGCAGAGTGGGTAGAACACGCTGCTGCAGCCTTACTTGAAGGATCACTCTTCTTACGCTTTGGATTAGATGAATATGTTAGTGATCACATGCTGACTAGGTCTATTCTCATGTAAATCTTTCTAGGGGAAAACAAGGAATTTTGCTCATCCTGCACTTCGTGATGGTGTCATCATTTTCTTTTACACAGGACCTTACGGAATCACACGCAGGCGACCAGACATATTCCACAACCAATTGCCTGTGTCATGTCTGGCTTTGGTTAGCGCAGTGGTAGTGTTTTTTCTGTCCCCAACATTGTAGTATATTGATTTAATTTTCTCTCTATAGTACAACTGCATCCTCGACGGTCTTGCGAAGAACGGCAATGGAAAATATTACCCGAAGTTTACTGCGAGGGAATATGGCCCTATCTACTCCAAAATGGTCTAGATGCTTGACAACATCCTTCGGGATCTGTACCATGGCCCTAAGTTGTTGGCGCAGCTGCGGGAGTGGGCTGAAGCTGGATGGCGAGAATGTTTCTTTTGTATAGACTGTTTGATACTAATTTTATCCATACAGGGCTGCAAGTTTGAGGGTCGATGGAGCTACAGAGACTCGACACGACCACCTGCAGATCATTCTTGACTGAAGCTTCGTATTCATGTGTCTGTGCTCACATCCGAGTATTTCTCTTCCCTACATTTGTTTACTGCATCCTGTCATTTCGCTTATCATTCTGTTATCAATATATCATCTATTGTGCTACTGCATAACTGGAAAGCTATCTAGTGGTGTTCATGTCTGAGTTTTGTGCATGAGGCAGTTACTGGAGTGTCTGTGAGCCTCTGTGCAGGATGGCACCCAAATTTAAGCACAAGTTCTGTGCACGAGGCAGTCACTGGAGTGTCTGTGAGATTCTGTGCAGTGTGACACATAACTGGTGTGTCTGTGAGTCACTGTCCAAAAGGGACCAAGCTGCCACCCTTGTGCGCTGTACAGTTCTGTACAGTGCATATTAGTTTACTGATGATGGATTGGTCATCAAGGTCTGGGCATTGTACATGAAATTAAAGTGAGAATTGTCTGGCATGACGGTATCAATGTTTGGGTATCATAAACTAATGCAAGAAGGTATGGTAGGAGGGCAAAGGGAAGAGAAAGACATGAACGAGACAAGGACGTGTTCATTATACTCACTCGATCATATACTCGTCATAGTGGAACCTCACCATGGAAACGGCGTGGAACACTAAACGAATCGAGCGAGATAACAGGACGAAATTATGTATTTCTGAATCTTTGTATGTGGGGTAGATGGTAGATGGTAGTAGGTAAGAGACCCAAGTCTACCTCTAAACGTCGTAAGAACAGTGGAATATATGGGGCAATGTCACGTGACATTGCTTTGTTAAGCACGTAGTAAGCAATCGGCTTACACCCTCCCTCACTCCAAAGACTTATCCATCTCTTCGTTTCTCCAACCGATTAGGTCTTCTTCAGTCCTCGTCACATCATGCTCTTGCTGCACGTCTGCGATGTCCATTGTAGCATCATGCTCTTGTTGCATGTCTGCATAGTCCGGTTTGTCTTGTTCTTGTCGGTCTTCCCCAGTTCTTGACTTGTTGTAGTCTTGTAGTGCGTCCGTGTTCTCAATTTCTTTCCCTGAGACCCAGATATCTTGTTCTTGGCCGAACCCACGCCACCGAATCAGATATTGATATCCGCGTCCACGAGCTCTTCTATCGAGGATCTTGTCTATTTCCCACCCGGTGGTTCCTGTATTGGTGATGATGGGTCCAGGCTGGTGTACTTCTCATGAGGGGTAGAGCATAGCGTCGTTTGGAACGTGGCGCTTCAGTTTGGACACATGAAAAGTGGGATAAATATTAGTATGTTTTGGCAGATCTAACATATAAGTTGACGACTCAGAGTTAGCCGACACAATCGTGTAGGGACTGTCAAATCGAGGCATGAATTTGGCGACGCATCTGTTGTTTCCATTGAGGTACTCTCGACGTCTGTGTGCAGTCGACAGGTATACGCAGTCGCCAACGTCTAACTTGGGTTCTTTACTTCTATGCTCGTTGGCTGAATTAGCTTGGGCCACTCTTGAGGCCAGTAGGGCATCATGTGTGTCCGCCACATCCATTTTTAGTGTCATAATTGACTCTAATGTGTTAGCTATGTCGGTAGGGAAGTCTTTACGTACCTCACACACACCATCTACTGTCAAAGGCAGCAGCAGGTGTGGTGTCCTTCCCAGGTGTAGGTGGAAACGTGTATAGCCAGTCGAGGCATTCACTGTTGACATTAGTCTAAATCTCACATGGGGCAGGGCGTTCACCCAACACGTCTGGCATCTTTCAACGAAAAACCTTAACATTTGATCTACTGTCTTGTTCGTGCGTTCACTCGCGCCATTGGTCTGAGGGTGATACACAGTCGACATTTTCAGTTTCACGCTGTCTTCTTAGATAGATGATCTATAGATAAACACCTATAAAAACAAATATCTCCACGGTCAGTGATTCAGACAAATACCAATGACTGATAATGTGGTTGTTCGTGGGTGGCTAGTTGTATACTACCCAAAGTATGTTCAGCTAAGGATACTTCTGCAAGATCAGTAATATGATGGTCAATCCAATCTATGGACTTTGACAGGAAAACAAACAAACAATGGTCAGCCCGACAGTATGACAATGACCAAAAGAATATATGGGATTCTTCCTCAAGTTCCCTTTCAACAACAGTGCTTCATATCAACTATACTCCAAAGAAATGGTGCAGAATTACAATGATAAACCCCCTCAGCACAAAACAGGTAGAATCAAAGGTCAAGACTAATCAGATGCTTTATTGTAGAACTCTTAGCTCAATATTGAACCTGCTGTCAAGGAACTCTTCTTTGAGTATTCAAACAGACTCAGGAACGGATGTCCTTGGGTTTACTACCAAGTCCCCTCTTCAACGGCTAAAGCCTAGCAGGCACAGAATATCTTGGCTCAGTATCGCTACTCAGATGAGTGAGGTCAAGCTTCACTATCAATTCCTAAAGTCTCCCCACTATGCTACTTCTGAGTCTTAGGTGGACGTAGAGACAACACGAATATTTTGGAAATATATTTCTGGACAAAGACCACCAAAGGTTGGTGAAAGTAAAAGAAAAGAAAAAGAATAATAGAAATCAGAATATAACTGTGGCTGTACCTTGCTTGCTGGTTGTTGCACACAGTGAGCTCACAGCTGGTTGTTCAGTATGATGAGCTTGCAGTATTACTGTCTCTTGAGAATGTTCCTCTTAGTCTTAAGACAGTTCTTGACACTGGTACTGACATTTATCACACCTTACTCACAACTTAGTGTTGGATGGGCTGAAAAACACCCTACTATCTGCTGCTGTTCGCTTCTTATTATTTCAAAAACTGGGGTCATTATATACACAATAAATGTGGCTGTGCTACTAGTGTATTCAAGAGTCATCAAGAGTCATAATGAGTCATATGTGCAAGGTGAGTCATAGTGAGTCATAGTAAGTATCTAGAGTGAGTCATAGTGAGTCATATATTCAGAGGGAGTCATAGTGAGTCATTGGGTATTTTGCTAAGTCATGTGACCTGTCCAACCCCTGATGACAAATCCAGAAGGAGAGTAAGAAGTGTCACATGATATGAATCCTGTGTGTGGCTGTCTTTGCTTTGCTTTGTTTGAAGGGTGAGAATGACGCGAGCCTAGTATTTAGGGGTTTACTAATGTTTTTCCAGGACAACATATGTGGGAAATATTTTTCACAGTCACCTGACATGTGTGGGATTTTGTCTGAGTCATCACCATGGCTGACTAAGCAAAACTCATCGCAGAATTAAATGTACTAAAATATTCAGGCTGCTGGTATACAGACTTGGAAAATAAAAAGAAAAGCAAAAAATATTCCTTTAGCCTCAGTCCAACTTCAGATAAGAGGGAAAAGGGTTTCATAGTGGTATTTCAGGGTATGACTCATGAGAGAGTATTGGTTGTCCATGCACCAAACCGGTTTGGTGCAGGTCAACGCCGGTTAGTCGATGTAAGGCCTTTCAGAACTTGCTGGTGAAAATTTTATCACGGTGTAGGGATTCATTTCTGGCTGGGCTTGTAGAGACTATTTTTACCTCACCTTATGTTGGCACTTTTGTAGCTTACATAATCAAGCAATCTTTTCACCAGTTACCAGTATGAGTCTGAGTGCTCAGCAGTTTTCTATGATATTTCCTCTCCTCTGAGCCTTAAGCCTAGTCCAGAAACCCTTTAGGGTCGAATAGCAGCTAGGTTCTGCAAGACCCAACATATTGTTCAGACTCACCATCTGAATTGTTGTACCTTCAACGGTCTGAGACAATGCTGAGGGGCAGTCCGTTCTCGCAGTACCAATTGTCGAAGAACAGGTTTGCGATTTCGTGCGCGTTCATACTCATCCGGCATGGTATCAATCGTATGTCGGCACCCAGGCGATCGGTGATAGTCATGATGCCGTCAAAGCCATGTTCCGTTGGTAGTGGTCCTATGAAGTCCATAGCGACCGAATCTCCTCGAGCGTCGGGTACGGGCAGTGGGTGTAGTGGGCCTGCTGGTTTCTTAGTTCGACTTTTGTTTCTTGCGCAATCAGGGCATGCCGGTATGTAGCTATCTTCGAGGTCCCACCTCATGTTCGGCCAATAGTAGGATTCTCATATAGATGTGTAAGACTTGTCTATGCCGAAGTGCCCAAGGTGGTCGTGTGCTAGACGAAAGATGGTTTCGCGCAGATGTGCGACACGAGGGATGATCAATCAGTTGTTGAGGTATAACAGACCGTCCTGCAGTCGTAGACCTGGTAGTGAACCGATCAGTTTTGTTAGTTTCATGCACCAAGGATCTGTTAAGTATCCTGATTTGATGTCGTTTATTAGTGACATGTCAGGAGTTATCGATAGCACCATTGCTATTGGCTCTACAACCTTTCCGAGACCGTTTGGCATGTTTATCGTCTGTCGGACGTATTTCGGGACACTGTCCACTTCCGGCGGCAGTCGTGAAAGAGCATCTGCCATTGAGTTGTCTTCTCCTTTGATATACTGGATTTTGAAGTCGTACTGGCTAAAAAACTCCTGCCAGCATGCCTGTCATCGTGACAGTTCCCGTTGACCCATGAAGCTTTCGAGTGTTCGGTGGTCTGTGTAGACGACGAAAGGAGTTCCCAGCAGCTCTATCCACCATTTCTTAAGGGCACGGACAATTGCCAAAAGTTCTTTCTCGTGTACCGGGTAATTCAGCTGAGCCTCCCTGAGCTGCATTGAGTCGAAGGTGACAGGTCGAGCTGTGCCAGGGGTCGGACCGAAGCTAAGCACTGCGCCTGTTTGCCAATCACTTGCATCACAGGTGATGAATATTTTGTTGTCATTGAGGTTGTCGTGGTCGATGGTGGTTAGACAATCCCTACTGACCACAAGTCGTTTTATAGCGTTGAAGGCCGCTTGGTGGTCGGTTGACCAGCCGGGCCATTCGGTCTCACATGGTTTTGTAGTCAGTGGTGTTAGGACACGCGTGAAGTCAGCCAGTCGAGGTAGGAATTGGTCGAGATATCGGACGAGTCCGAGGAAAGATTGTACATTGCTGGTGCACTGAGGTATCGGCCAGTCCAGTATCCGTTTTGCTTTTGATGTGTCTGCCTCGATCCCGGAAGCCAAAATATGGTGACCGAGGATGTCGATTTCTGTGCAAAACAGCGATGTCTTCTTAGGGGAGCAGAACAGGCTAGCTTTGTGAAGGGCATCCAAAACGAGTTGTACGTTTTTGACGTGTTTGGCGACCGTTTGCGACCATATTATAATATCGTCAAGGTATGTGTGACACACTTTACCTATCAGGCCACGTAGAGCGATGAACATGCGCCGCTGGTGTGTAGCGGGCGCATTTCTGCCACCCTGTGGCATTACGGTCCATTCGTGTAGCCCTCTAGGTGTATCAATAGTAGTATACTTTATATCATCCGGGTGGATGCGTGTCTGAAAGAAGGAGTTTGTCATGTCAATCTTTCCGAAGATTTTACCTTTGGCGCAGTCCCATAATATTTCGTCAATGCATGGTAAAGGATGATTGTCGGGGACGGTATTCGCATTTAAAGCCCTGTAATCGTTTACCCAACGAGGCAGTGCCGTAGGGTCCTTCTTTGGTATGAGGAATGCAGGTGAGACGAAAGGGCTTGATGATGGTTGTAGGCAACCCGCAGCGATATGTTGATTAAGTAGCGCGTCCCACGCTTCTCAATATTTTCTTGGTGTATTGTAGCGTCTGCATTGAATGATTTTGTTAGGATCTTTTAGAGTAATTCAATGCACAATGTCAGTAGGCAATTCGTCGATATGCGGTATATCCTCCGGGAATCTATCGTCGTATTTACGCCGCATCTCCTTGTCCAGACGTTCCAGGTGTTCCTTGTTGTCTTCGATGAATGCAAGAGTGTCGATTCGGCGACACAGAACAGATGTGATGTCGTTGGACTTTGATGTTGCATGTTGTTTGACTTTGTGGTATTGCGGTCCGAGCGCTCCCTTTAACTCTCTTATGACATTCTTGCGCATGTGAAGAACATCGCGTCGAGACGGGTGCGCTTTTGTGACACGTTGGATACGTTGAGGGGCATTCAGGAGATCATATTGCGAGTTCTTGGAGATACAGGTTCGAGTTTCATGATCTATGACAAGGTAATTGTGTTGTAAGAAAGGTCCTCCGAGGAGGAGCGGGACACTAAGTCCCAGTGCAACAATGGCGTGTATCGTATGTGAAGTCCAGTCATTATTAAGAGAAGAAGGTGAAAGAAGAACATATTCGGAGAAAGAAAAAGGTAGAGAAACAGAGTCTGTAAAAGCTGATTTCGCTTCGATCTTTGTGTGCAGTTTGCGTCTACGCATCCCAAGTTTGGTCACGATGTTCTCATCAATCAGAACTAGATGTGACCTGTGGTCAATGAGTGCGTCGACATGTTCAAAATAATTGATAGAGGGCCCTGTCAAAAGACAGGGCCATATAAGGTGGGCAGTTTCAAGAGGGGCTATGCACAAGTCATCATCTGAATCAGAAACCTCCTCAATCGTCGAAGTAGGCATCACCGCGTTCACAGGTGTTACAGCTGCGACCGTCCTTGTCTTTGGCTTGGCAGTGAGCGCGTCGGCCTCCATGAGGGACTTGTAGTTAGTAGCTTCAGGTGCGCCGTTGGGACAATCTTTTGACTGATGTGAAACGTAGAACTTTCGACACTTGAAACACCCTCTGTGTTTCGACAACAAAATCTGTTCCACTTCAGTCAAGGAGCCCAGGCAGGTGGAAGATGTGTATGTCTTTGACGACGAGGGTCTGTTGTTAGATGAGATGTTGCGTTTCGATGACTTGAACAATTCCTCGGCTATTTTCTTGTGAGCAGCTAGATCGTCGAGACGTTTGTCGTCAAGATGCTTGATCTCCTCGATCCACTCTCTTAGCGTGAGGTCGTCGGCGAGGTTTGCTCTGAGTACAGGGATGGTTAGCTCATTGCAGATGTTCGCTTCGAGCTGATTCCATAACTGGTCATTATCTAGGTGGGATGTCCCGCCATACAGTAACGCATTCTGATTCTGCAATTCTAGCACCCATTCATAGAACGGATGATTTCCTTGTTGCGAACCAAGGACTTTTCTGCGGAGTTTGATGTCCCAGTGTTTCTCCAGCCAAGCAGACTTTAGGGCCGTCATGTACTCATTGAACGTGCCTGCATCTAGTATGGCACGTTGTGCTAAATACCAGGTATGTAGACGCGCGTCTAACATTCCAAAGGCGATCATCTTGACTTGGTCTGCGGCTTCAATGTCCTTGTGCATGAAATACGTGGTACAAGTGTTGTCCCAGTCGCAAACAACTTCAGGCGTGAGCTCGCCCGCCAGGAGTCTTGGTGGTTTACTGGGGGCAGATTGCTCTACTTTGGCTGTCCGCATTTTGTGATGATGAGGGTAGGTTATATGTGCATGGTTCGTGTCAGAGTCGGAAGAGGAGTAGTAATACCTCTTAGTGAGGATAGTACATCTAACAGGTGTAATGTTCAATGATATCAAAGTCAGGGGAGACAATGGTGGTTCAGGGAGGTGTGGGGGAGACTGTGGGGGAGATCGTTGTCTCAATTCTCTTGCACATCTTCGTGTGACTAGAGATACGGGGACGGTTGGATTCCTTCCTGCGGAAGGCAGTTTGGTGGGTCAGGAGACGGGTGGGAAGCCCAGCGGGTTGGATTTATGGTGGTTCTAAGGGATGACAATTTCGTTTCTGTTAAAAAAAAGTGGAACCTTGCTGTGGAAACAGCGTGGAACACTAAACGAATCAAGCGAGATAACAGGACAAAATTATGTATTTCTGAATCTTTGTATGCGGGGTAGATGGTAGATGGTAGTAGGTAAGAGACCCGAGTCTACCTCTAAACGTCGTAAGAACGGTGGAATATATGGGGCAACGTCACGTGACGTTGCTTTGTTAAGCACGTAGTAAGCAATCAGCTTACACATAGCTCAGAATGGAAATGTGTAGACTTGCAGCTCTCAGACGCGACTTGGCAGTGAATTTGTGATTTTTCGCTAATATAAGTATCTAGTGCTATTCTAAGGCTTATTTAAACAATACTTTACCTTTTCCAACAATCGTTTCAACGTGTTATGCGTCCGCTATACAAAGATTGAGCCATGACCTGCAAAATCGCCCAAGTGGCTGAGATTGGGACCCTGGACACCAGTTTGGGGGGGAGGGACGAAAGGAGTGTGTGTTCGAGATTCGCCGAACGCACGCCTCTTGATGCAATGATTAGCTGGAGGTACGGGTTCATACACTCAGCATGCTGGACACCGTTTCGTGGACTTTTAAAAAGAAAGTAAGGTCGCTGACCACTCGGCGGCATCGCTGCGATATGAAGATTCGTTATCTTACTCTTTCTCCTGGCTGGCTTGTTCCACCGCGTCGACCGTCCCCATCTCTGGAGACTGAGTAATGGTCGAAACTGAGCTGCCATCCTCAGGCACTTCCTTGGTTTCACTGTTCACGATACCTCCATTGCCCACAAGACCCCAAACAATTTTCTCCCTTCCCATTGCCTCCTCCTCGGCCTCCGCCCTCAGCGTCTCTTCCCTCCCATCTCTCGATAGCTGGCGCAATACCTCAATACTTGTCGACGCCGGTCGGAAGAGCCTGCGATTGAACGACGGCACGCCGTTCTCATCGGCTTTAGGTCCTTCCTCCTCTACCAAACCGTTCTCCTCGACCGTTACGACAGGGCTCTCGGCACCTGCCACCAAGTCCTGTAGCCTGCTTGGTGTTATTTCCTCACCCTCGCCTGAAGAGGAGGCAGCAGTCTTCCGTCTTCCAAAATCCAGCGCATTCCACCATGTCTCCATCTCCTCCGGTCCGCTGATATTTGCTGGGAAATTCCACGCACGGAACTGCCTATCTTTCGCAGATGCGAGGTTGGCCTGAATTCTGGAGGTTTCTAGCGAGCTATGTGAGACGGTCCAATGGAGAATCCCTGGAACACCAAAACATTAACACGAATGATAACGAAACTGGAAGAAAGATGTGATGACGCACAGTCATCGTCAGGCGTGACACCAATCGCTTTTGAGCCCCATACAGGCTGGCCAGTGACAAAGTTCTGAACCTCTACGTCGATCTGAATGATTGGAGGCTCCTCTGTCTTCACTCGTTCCCCATCCTTCTCGCCATCTTTCCCTTGCTCCGCAACCTTTATTTCATCCTCTACCTCCTTCAACTCTGCTACGCTTTCTCCTTTCCCTTCTTTCTCAGTGTCCCACTCGACAGGTTCCACCCATATATTCATCTTCGACGAGCGCTCCCGTGTCTCGAAAGTGCATTTCACGCTCTAACCAGAACCACACGAGTTAATGAAAAGTTGGAGAAGACAAAGAAGTGGACTCACCCTCTCCCCAAACACTCCAACAATCTCATCCATCACTACTTCCAGCAGCTTCACACACTTCTCAAATACGCGCGTGCCTCTGGTAGGTGCACTATCGCTGTTGACAACACCCGCAGGTTTCACATCTTGTCCGAACAAGCGTGCATCCATCTCCTCGAGCGAGATGTACTGGAAACCGAAAACGCGGGCCGTGTTATGGTAAGCAACAAATACTCCATCCATATTGCCGATACGAGCTTGGAAGCTGGTATGGGATGTTGTTAGGCCAAGAAGAGAGAAAGCAAAAGGGGTGGAGCGCCAACACACCTGTACTTCAGAAATGCACTTCGAATTAAATCGTAATATTCTTTCTCGAAGCTCTCCAGTGGTCCGTGAAGCGTACGAATGAGGTAACCAGAGTTCTCCTACATTCAACGAAATCCGTTAGCCACAGTCCCAGTTCAGAGTATGGATGCGAAAACACTGAGCCATTGATATGTAAATGATGTGCTCCGATAGAACTACGATAATGGATGGCAATCAGACCCAAACAAAAAAAATGCGCACCTCGAAATTCAGCAAATCCAGTCGGATCGGCACCGCTGCACGGGTCTTGACATCAAAAACGCCAGTTCCTGGTAAGCGCGGGTCCACACAATCTAGTTGGGAGCGCATTAAAAAGCGGTCGCTCTGATCCCATCATATCGGTCAGCAAGTTGCCCATCGCCAACCACACCCATACAACACGGACATTGTCAGAAACCCACGCGCGAAAAAGCGTAAGAAAAGAACGCACCTTCGCATACCGATATGCCTCCCTCCTTTTATCCTCCTCACCTTCCGCTAGGGCGGGCGAGGAGCGCAGGAAAGTCTTGAACTCAGATTCCGGAACTGTCAAGAATTTTTCGAGGAGAGTGCCCTGTAACGCAAACGCATGCATTAGTTACGTGATACGCGAATCAAAATTCATAACGCGCATTTCAAAATGAAAAGTGAGAAAGAACAAACGAAGATAAAATCAAATGCACTTGCGCGACGCACCATCCAGGTCAATACATTCTTCTGGCTGTCATCCTCACCATCTTTGTTGGAATCGATCGCCCATACACCGTCTTTGTATCGTAACACGATTGATACGGGCATGCGCTGGCCTGGGGTAAAGTTCGTTGGCTGTGGATAGATATGTCAGCAAGTATTGCAAAATCTGTATAAGCAGAACGGGAGGTATATAGACGCATCCAGAAACGTGCAGTCAGACGTCATGATCAAGAAGCGAGTGTATACCGCACGTGAAGGCATAAGAGCATACGCCACATGACAAGAGCTCGATATTTAGCACGTTGAACCGCACTGCGCAACACGCGGATTTAGAGGAGAACGATGAAATTCATGCCCCAAAAATTGACCTCAGGAACTGTAGATAATCACCCACCTCATGCGCAAAAGCGCCGCTCAAAACACTCGTATCTACTTCCTTTCCACCAGAGATGAGGAAGTAAATGTGGCTGAGCAGACCGGTGAGTGAGGATGTGGAGCCAACGTATGGTCGGGAGTGTATTTTGGCGAGGGTATGAAGGTCCTTATGGAGTGAGTGTCCTAAGATTTTGTAAACAGAAGAAGCAAGGATCAAACGTACATCATCTTGAGAACTCCGTATGAACCCAGTGACGCGCTCGAACGCGAAATCTGTGACTTTGGGTATGCTCTCAAGCCAAGGCGTGAAATTATATACACGTGAGCGTGGATCTTGGAGCCAATGAACGCCGGGGCTGCGAAATAGAGTTCAATTGGCATTCACAATCTACAAGGCAGAAAGACGCACTTGAATAACACCCTATCAAGCCCATGCGCAAGCCGCGCAATAGGCTTGTGTTCTGAGGGTGGGTCGATATCTGCCGACCCATGTGTCAGAACCACATTCAAAACCTTGCAAATGATGAATAATACGAACCTTCCAGTACGTTATTGGTAGAGCTCGGTCCGCTTGATGAAGGAGCATTCAGATCTCGCACGTCGTCGAAAAGACCCTCTACGCGACGGGTATAAGGTAGGGGATGGCGTACGTGCGGCGGTTGCCCACGTCTCGTGGACTTGATCTTTCTTGGTCGTCCATCGACACTGACCGACCCCTGCGATCCAAGATTCTCATTCTCCCCCGGTTGAAGCGCTTCACATGACAGACCAAAACTGAATGAAAAGTAGAACTACAGTGAGTTCATGGAAAACGCACCGTCCTCGCCCCACCCCGTCGTCCAACCATCCTTCGCCACATGATTACTTTCCCCAGAACCTTCAAACAGTAGCTTCAGTACCCCCGTACGTTTCGCGTCGGACCCTGCAAGAGAAGCACGCGCTGATTCCACAGCAGGTCGTGCACCGGCACTTCCAAACTTCTTTTTTTTTGGATGCTTTTCCTTTTTTCTTCTCTTCGAAACACCTGCCGCCGGAATGTCACGATGAGGGTTCTGAATGGACGAATTGCTGCGCGAGGAGTCACGCTGGCTACGCAAAGAGCGCGAGAGTTTCCCAAGAGTGTGTTCCTGTCCTTTTCCATGCCCAGCCTGTTGTCCCTGCTCATTCGCCGTCTCTCTGCTTCGGCTTTTATCTTTTCCCAAGTCCACAATTTGACTCTGGCCTTGGCTCTGGCTTTGGTTTGAGTCCGCGTCCGAGTTGGCATTTAAAACACCAGCAGAAACGCCAAATGCTCGTCTTCTGCAAGTGAGTGCACTGATAGCAATGGAGCGTGCATTTTGGAGACGGTGCATTCGAAAGTCGTAGTTCAAAACTTCAGATTTTCGAAGTTGAACGAAAAGCTGTTTGATGGGCGCTTATTTACATAAAATCAAATTGCTCATACGTCATGCATCTTCAAATAGTCCAAATCGTTTAGGAATAGTCTAACTGGTGCTGGCGCCATTGCGCATGCACCAGTGAAATTTATCCAAACGCCAGAAGTAACTATATCGATCAAGTTAGCAACGAACTGCGTATCATACTCATATTCTGCATCGACAACCAAATGCTAATGTGAAAGTGGCAGAA